GGGAGCCGCGCACGGAGCGAGAGCCTCCCACGAAGAGACGAGCTGCCCAGAAACGAGACCTACCTCCTCAGATCACACTCCAAGCCGGGGGAGACTCGAGCTCAGATTCCTATCGCTCAGGAAAGAAACACAGGCCAGCTTCTATTTTCAGAATTTCAACAAAAGCTTCACTCACAGAGTGAGCGAAGGCAGGTTGCCACAAATGCAGCAAGAATGCACGTCTCATTTAAAGTTAGAGCTGGCTTAGTTGTGATTTCAGATAATCAGAAACCTTTATGTTTTCCAGGTATTATTCACTCAAATGACAAGAGGCAGATATGTGCTTTAACAACATTTGAATGAAAAACAAAATGACTATAAGCCGACAGAAAATGGTGTGATGGGTCTGCACAGCAACTCTTACAACTGTTTCGGAACAAAAGCCCCGCTCGGGCTGCACTCACCCCCTGGCACTAAAGCAGCTCCTATCTGACAGCTGTCCCACGCGGAACCATGTGCTGGTTTCAATTGAATTTCTCACGGAATCAGGCGGAGCGGCCCCTCACAGCTGCCCTGCCGCCCTCCTGCTCCCGCCTCGCTCTGCAGCCGGACGGCTCTTCCCGTCCCGCACCCCGGCCGTGCCCACGCGCGGGCCCCGGGACAGCCCCAGGACAGCCCTGCTCCCGCCGGGCTCCCGCAGCGCCTCCCGGCCCGGGCAGCCCTGCACCGCTGGGACGCATGGTGCCTGGCCAAACACCCAGGGCTCGCAGGCCGCTCCCCACGTCCCCAACCCGGCGGAAGGGCAGCGCTGTTCCCCACGCTGCGCTCCGACCCTGCTCCTGCGCGGCCGCCCGGCCCCGGTCCCGGCCCTGCTCCAGCCCCTGCTCCAGCTCCAGCCCCTGCTCCAGCTCCGGCCCCAGCCCCAGCTCTGGCACCGGCATCGGGACCCGCTGCCCGGCGTGCGGGATCGGCGCAGCACGCGTCGCGGTGCCAGCACGCGTCCCGTGCCGCTGCGCTGACAGCCCCTGCTGATTTCCTAGCAAACAGTGGCAAATTGCACACGTCTTAGGAGAGTATCGCTTTGAGGTTTATTTTTAACTATTTACATTTTGGTTGGAATATCTGAATCTTTCGTTGCTTTATTTTTAAAAAGCAAAGCTCTGTTCACCTCTCTAGTATGAGCTCTCTGGACCAAATTCCCCTTCTTGGTGTAAATTCAGAGCAAACCTTTCTTGCTTCGTATTTCCAGTAGCATGAGTGAATGACCCTTTTTCTGAGTGCAAACTAAAAAAAGTAAATCAAAATCTTCTTTGCTCACAATGGGGCTTTGAGAAATGCTCTGGGTTGAAAGAGACATTCCTTGGATAAGACCTATGCAATAGCCTCAATATCAGATTTCCCTATCCAGCTGTCCAGAGTCCCATTAGTGCCTCTCACTATTATCAGTCTCACTCTATAATTAGAACAGCCTATGGTTTATTTGGGCCTTTTTCAAAACCAGATTTCCCTCCCAGCAGTAGCTGTCATTCAGGAGTGCATGAATAGTATCTTTCTTTCAACATAATTTGCATTTACATTATTTTGTGACAAACAGGAATGAATTGCATTCAAATCTGCAGAACAGCTCATTCTATGAGATGATAAACACTGCACCTACCCGGGACGAGACGCTCTCATCTGGCACCTGGTTTTGCTCACAGAGGCCCCAGGTCCTTTTCCATTCCCAGTGACAGTCCTTATCTGCCTCTCCTCTCTGACACGGACCAGGCTGCCCCTGCGAGCCTTCCGGCTCCGCACGGATCCGCGCTGCAACGGCACCTTCCTCACTGCCTTCCCCAGCCGCAGCTGCAGGCTGCAACGGTTGCCCCATGCTACTCACGTATCTGCAAAGCTCTTTAGGGTTCAACAGCTTCAGAAGGTTTCTCCGTAGATTTTCTGCTAAGGTACAGACAGCATGCCTTGATTTTTCCTCTGATAAAGTTCTTCTCTCCTCCTCTAGTTGCAATGCATGGTCACCTGGCAAGTCCTCGTCCATATCTTTTTCTGATGCTGCCTCTGTAGCCTGATTTGCCAAAGAAGCACCTATATGAGTAGCAGAGGAGTCCACTTGTGCAAGCAGGTTACCCCTGTCCTGTGACTTGTTGGTGGAGACGTCCGCAGCTGAGTGACCACTTCCATTCTTCCCTTCCTCAATCCCGGGATAGTCGTTTTCGATGGCCGCAGAAGCAACGGGCAGCTTGTACTTCTCTCTGTCTCTCAGCGCAGCCGCTTTGTCTTGGTGGGCTCCAACAGTGAGAGTCATGTCTGACTGCAAAGTTGCCTGCCTGGCAGAGGGATCTCTCCTTACATTTACTCCTTTGAATTTTGAGTGATGACCACAGAAGCCAATGGTGGCATCCATAGGCGCAGTGTTATCTGACACTTGAAGCAGACAAGGCAGTTCGCCGAGGAAGTAAGCACACCCATCACAATCCTTACTCAGTTTTAAATCGTCTTCATCATCACTTTCTAATAAAAACTGTAATTTCTTTTCCCAGATTTCATTTTCATGCCTTGTCAGCACATCTGAACATTCAAAACACTCAAAGTTATCATCAGAAAAGTCATTGCTTAGACTTTTCTTTGGATGAATCTCCAGAAGGGTGCCAGAATTTTCAGAATCTTCTTTTACAAAACAACAGTGATTGACTGCAGGAATCTCTGCCTGCTCATTGCACGGAGCACTCGTGGTTAGAGGTTCACGTCGCTCGCTCTCTTCACACGTGTGGGCACCTCCCGCACACACACCAGGAACAGCCTCTCCTGTGCTACGGCAGCAGTTGTCAGTGCGATAAGCGACAGGATCTGGGGCGCTGAAATGCACCTGCTTGCTGCAGTATCTCTCTGATTTTCCAGCACTGACACTAACTGTTGTGTTAAAATGAATTAGATCACCACCATTCTCTGACACATCCTTTAGGCAGGAAATATTTCCCTGGTTTTTAAACACATTTTTTATGTCCCTGTTGCCTTCCATGTTAAGATATGTCTGTGGGATTTCTCACGTGGGGATAACACTCCTGACCTTCTCGAGCAATAAACCGCTGCCTTTGGAAGAACCTGGTGAAACTAGGACGGAGTAACCCTCATAGGGGCGACTCGTGCATGGTGCAAAACACTTCCCATTCTGCTCATCTGGCTCTGGAGTTTCCCACACTGTCATTTAGGTCAGCGACCAACCCTGAGGAAGTTTTGAATTTTGTATACGATTCCACTTCGACGACTGCTGAACAGCAGGTCAGTGTAGGTGCCAAAGGGTTCCCGTGTGCTGTGCAATAAAGTGCGACATCTTGCTCTGTACACCTGCAAATAAAAGAAAACCAAACTTTGTAACAATTAAACAGGATTGCTATTTTCTAAAAGATGGCAAGTTGACACATGGTTGCAAGAACTAAAAAAATATATATTTTAAATGAAAAACACGTATCAGCAGCAATTAGAAAAGCTGCTGTGTATACAGAGCCACTTAGTGAAAACACATTGCAGCTGTCCAGAGTCATTTTTTTCTAGGAGAACATATTCTGAAGCAAGCCTGCATGTGCATTTAGCAGGAAAAAAAATATGCTTCAGTGCATGTCACTTAACCATGTTTAACTGCAGGTGGAAATCTGAAGACTCGGGTCCAAGTTTTCAGATGTGCTGCGTGTTTCTACAGGCCCCAAGTACCTGCTAGTTTGACAGCCACCTAGGCACAATAGCAGGCTACTTGGCCTCAGCTTGGCACAGAAACATAAATCGCAAACATGTGTCTGCAGTAATACATGCAACAATGAGATAGGGGGGAGATTTTAGGGCTATGTTTGTTAACAGCAATTCTATTATATTTTGGCCTGAGGTTTGCCATTTCTGGACATGGAATGAGGTTGGCCAGCTCCTGTAAGGTTTTTGTTTTCTAAAAAAATCTCAAATCCTAGGAGATTACATAATTTGGGCTCTGCCTTTGCATACTAGAGTCCACCTGGATCATCCTTTACTATAGAGTATCCCTGCTAATCATAACAGAACTACTCCACAATCCAGGAATTCACTCATCATGGAAAAATAAAATAGCAGAACTCAGTTTCAAGCAAATTTGATCTCATGAAAGATGCCAGATTAACAGCTCTGAAAAATAATGTCCTGTACTTACTCAGAGAACTCGTAGGGCATGAAGCACAGCAGCAAACACTCCCCAGCGCCCTGCTAAGCCCCGGACGCTGCACGGACACCTCCCCTCTCCGCTCTCCTCTCCCTTCCTCTGCTTCCCCCTTCGCGGGGGCCCTTTTCTCCACGACCGCAGGGCCCAGGCCGCACGCGGCGCCGCATGCAGCGCCCTCCCCGCTTGCCCCTCGCAGGCGCTGGGGACGGGAGTGCATGGGGAGCCACACGGAGCCAGCGGGGCCACACGGAGCCCGCGGGGCCAC